TCCAAGCAGCTGGAAGCACAGGCGCGCGCTACCACACCCAGCTAATTTTTTTGATTTATTGTAGAGATGAGGTCTCGCCTCATCTCAACCCTGCGGGCTCAGGCAATGCACTCACCTCAGCCTCCCAAAGGCGCGGGATTGCAGGCTGAGCCACCGAGCCTGGCTGATAGACACTTTTCTACTTTCCCTTAGAAGATGTCCGTGGCAGCTGTCCAGCGCTCTTAATCATCATGTTTGTGCAGTGTTACCAAGACCCAGGTTCTCTTTTCCTCCTTCAGATATTTGGTTGTCTCATGGTCCCAAGGGGTTGCCCTACCTCCAGCATTACAACCACCTTCCAGGCAGAGAGGAGAAAGGCATTGCTGATGGAGATAGCCCCACCTTTGAAAGAGCTTTTCTATACACCTTACCTAGCAAATTCTGCTTATAGCTCTTTGACCAGAACTGTGTCACACAGCCACCTTGAGCTGCAAGGGATTCTGGGAAATGTAACCTTTTTATCTGGGCACACTGCCATCCTAGAAAAAACGAGAGTTCTGTAGGAAGGAAGGGGAAAATGGCTCTGGGAGGGCACTTCCCAGCATCTGCCAACCCTCCTGACCTTGGACTCTAGACATGATGACGAGTCCAGCAATCTGTCTCTTCAGAAATCTTCCTACTTAATTCCCTTAAGCAGGTGCTCCTTCTCTCTGCCTTTCAGTAGATTGCTCAAACCAGGATAAGACTTTTGAATTTTATTTTATTTTCCTGGAAGTGGATTAACTCAAATCATATGTCAAGTAGTTAAAAAAAAAACACCACCAAGATTTGTGGGAGAGATTCATCTCTCTTCCCCTCTCACCTCCACCTCCTAGTCCCCTGGTACCCTCATGAGGCCAGCGCAGTATCCAGCCAGTCATTCTCATATCAAGAACTCCAGGAAATATTCCCTTTATAAATGTGCTACAAGGCTCAAAATACCACCACTAGAAACTCTTTACTTTGGGTCAAGCATTACTCTCCCCTTTTGAACTGAAAATGTCTTTCAAAATGCCAATCACAGGCCAGGCGTGGTGGTTCACACCTGTAATTCCAGCACTTTGGGAGGTTGAAGTGGGAGGATCCTTTGAGCCCAGGAGTCGAGACTAGCCCGGGCAACACAACACAGTGAGACTTTGTCTCTACAAAAAAAAGTTAGTCGGGTGTGGTGGAGCAAACCTGTAGTCCTAGCTACATAAGAGGCTGGGGTGGAAGAACTGCCTGAGCCCAGGAGGTTGAGGCTGTGGTGAGCCATGATCGTGCCACTGCACACAGCCTGGGTGACAGGGTGAGACTCTAACTCAAAACACACACACACACACACACACAAAACCCCCCACAAAATAACAACAACAAAAACACCACTGCTACCAACAAAAAAACCCCACCAATTCCCTCTAACAGAGATAGAAGAGGGCTCAGTCTTTATGACCTTGGTGCTGGTCTTGGTTGGCTAACCCCTTTTTTCCCTTGGAATTCCCGAGCAGCTTTGGGGCACTGAAACTGGTGGGGGAGATGGAAACAAGGCCAGAGGGCTAGAGCAGCCTGCCTGTCCCTAGAAGTGGGGCACCCAGCCGTCTTACCTCCCTCACCATAAAGCCACATCACAACGGCAGCACCGGCTGGAGGTATTAATAAACACTGCTGGTAAGTGTCAGTCCAGCAGATGCAACCCTGCAACCTGCACACTGACACAGCGTGTCTTCCCCTCCCCACCTACACTTCTCAGCCCGAGGACTGAAAAGCTGACTTTCTCGTAATTTGACACTCACCTAGGGAATAACACTGCTAGGAAGATGTCAATGCGAGGACAGTAGGTGGGGACGCAAACATGCCCCAGGAGCCCTCATGTCAGAGTGACAGATGATGACAAGGCCAGCTTATGCCTATTTCTTGCTACCTGGGGCTGTCCCATAGCCTGGGCTTTTCCAGGAGATATTGTTGATCTGGATCAGTGTAGCAAACTGGCCTATCTCTGCAGGGCCAGGCTCAAACCTAAGCAAAAGACGTCCCTTCCCTGGACTCCCCATATTCCAGGGACTGGCACTGGCCTTCTCCTGTGATAACCCTTCTCATGGGGGAAGAACGCCTTAGGACTAAGGAGGTCCTACCCAGAGCTCTGTATCCCCTTTTTAGTCTGTTTGATTTTTGAGTTGGAGTCCCACTCTGTTGCCCAGGCTGGAGTGCAGTGGCATGATCACAGTTCACTGCAGCCTCAACCTCCTGGGCTCAGGCGATCCTTCTGCCACAGCCCCCCAGTAGCTGTGTGTGCCACCCTCCCTGGCCAATTTTTTGGGTTTTATAGAGGCGAGGTCCCATTATATTGCCAGACTGGTGTTGAACTCCTGGGCTCAAGCAATCCTCCTGCCTCGGCCTCCCAAAGTGCTGGGATAATAGGCGCGAGACACTGCATCTGGCCCCAGTATCCCCTTTTAGAACGGACTGCCTATTCCCAGGACACCAGAATCCCCAAGCTGACTCCCAGAAGGTGAAGTCCCGGATACTTCTATCCGAGTGTAGACCAGACCACTGTTATGTTCATCTCTGAACACGAGGTGGCCAAGAGATGGCTGCCTGTGGTGGCAGAGCGTGATGGAACCCGGTCTTCCAGGCTGGGATGCCCATCAACATGAACTTGAGGCTGCTTGTGGTACAAGAGGAGCTAAGAGAGGTACAGGAGGTGGGCAGGCTGTGGTTGGAGATGTCTCTCCCCTCTCTACCTTGTGCCAATGCAAAATTCTGAAGTGGCTAAGAATTCGACCTTCGAACCTGGCTTTTCAGGTTGTGATGAAAAGATCTTTGTCCAGGGAGGAGAAGAGGATGTAGTTTGTTAACAACTTATAAGCTTGATTTATAATATTGAAATATTTAGACATGGGCTGGACACAGTGGTGCGTGCCTGTAATCTCAGCCCTTTGGGAGGTCAAGTTGGAAGGATCACTTGAGGTCAGGAGTTCAGGACCAGATTGGGCAACATAGTGAGAGCTTGTCTCCGCAAAAAATAAAACAAATATTAGGTGTGGTGGTGTGCCTATAGTCCCAGTTACTCAGGTGGCTGAGGCAGGAGGATTACTTGAGTCCAGGAGTTCAGGCTGCCATGAGCTATGATCATGCCACAGCACTATCTCTTAGAAAAAAATTTAGACATGGGTTTTGTGGCCTCTGTTTGTATTCTTGCCACAGGCCTTGCAAATGTAGAGGGCAGCAGACCTGGTCCACCAATGTATCTGTTTGGTCTACAGAGTATTTTAAAAATGAAGTGATTTCATGTAGAAGTTGTGATTTGGGCTTTTCTTGACAAATTGGAAGATACGCAACACAGCCTGGATTCCCATGTGGCAGCGCAAGAGAGAAGTGAAGGACAGTTGTACACTCACTCCTCAGTTTGTCACACTCTCCACCACTCCCAATTGTCCTACGTCCTATGAGTTTCATGCATGGAGAGTGCCTGCCTAGGCATGGAAGCATTGGAGAGTGGGTCAGCTGGTCCATCAGCCTGTCATGAGTGGAAGACCTGGTTGGGCCCACTGCAGGGGCTCAGGATGGGTCACCGAAAGGGGCCTTGCATGGGATAGAACCTGGCTGGCAAGACCTCCATGGTCAAAGTTCTAGGAGTTCAAATCTCCACGCATGACTGCCTCTCTTGATTTCCCTCCTCAGAGATGATGTCAGCATTGGCACTTGCCCAGGGCCCAGCCGGCTGTATCCTCCACCAGGCTGATCAGAAAGGAGAAGTGGAACTGCCCGGGGTCGGTAGAAAGTGGAGAATGAAAGGGGAAGAGCAGTCCTGGCTGAGAGCTGGGAACCGTGCCCATGAGCTCCACATTTCGAGTCCTGGCCCTGAGTGTCACTGGGAGGACGCGGGCCGGTCATGTGCCCTCGGGGGGGCTTTCTGGGGAAAGTCACAGGGCTCAGGCAGGGGTGGGGAGGGACACCTTTGCTGGGAAGGCAGCCTGCCCACGAGAGGCCGGGGCCTGGAGGGTCAGCAGCGGAGAGAACTGGGCCCAGAAGCGGGCGTCACAGGGGCTCGGGGCTGCTCAGCACCAAAGTGAAGACGTGAGGGGAAACCAACTCTATTCAGTGCCTCTGCCTCTGGGGTGGTGAGGGCCGCTTTGCTCCACCCATTAGCAGCAGGGTGGGAAAGAGTTATTTGCAACATGAGCCACCAAAAGTGGGTCCAGGAGGAACTGGTGAGAGGCCCTACCCAGGTTGCATGGAGTCTCGGCACTGCAAGGGGAGCCCTGTTCCCCACATTTTATTGGGAGATCAAAGATGGCAGACCTGCACTGGGAGATTTCTTTCTCCTGGAAGGAGAAAGGCCTCCCAGGCTGTCTCTCCAGGATGTGGATTGGGGGCTCGGCCGGGGCCCACGCTTGGGCACCCCCGGCAACAGCTTCACCGGGGAGCACCTTGAGGACCGCAACGTGCCGTTGGAGGCGGTGGGATGGACTCCTTCAGCAGACAGGCCACAGGCGATCACGTGACCTCCGTGGAGTTTAATAATTACCAACGCCAGCCTCGTCCCAGGAGGCCTGAAGAGGCTCAGAGCTGAGATCCAGGAGGTGCTGACCTTGGGGGCTGGGCCTTCTCCTCCCGTCCCCCATCGCCCCAAGACGGCTGCCACCAGGGAGGAGCGGGCTGTGGCTCTTCCTCTGGAGGACCAGGGAAGAGACTGAGGGTGACTGAAGGGCCCTGCCGCTTTTGTCCTCAGTTAGCTTGGCAGGGCTGTGTGTTGCCAGGCCCTGCTGCGGCCTCCAGGGATGTGGCTGCCTTTGCTCAGGGGCAGTGGTGGGGTGAGGCAGTGGCCTGCAGGCCATCGGGCACTTGGCCTGGCATCTCTGGGGAGCGGGTGGACATCGGAGCTGGTGGACATCCGAAATCAGGCTCTGCCAAACCAGAAACAGCTCTGTGCTACCCGGGCCACTTGGCACCCCAAAGCGCCCGAGTGGCCACATGCAGAGGCTCCTGGAGACAGGCCCCCAGGGATGGGTGGCCTGGCCACAGTCTGGGCCCCTCCCAAGGCCTGTGGACATTCCTCCAGAGTGCAGTTCAGGGCTGGAAACGCGGGGCACTGACGTGGGGCTGGTGGAAGGCGTGGGCACCATACACTGCCTCGGGGGGCGTGGGCGTACCAGCAGCCAGCACGGAGCACAGGGGCTCGTGGCTGCTCAGCACTGAGGTGAAGAACTTCATCTCCTCCGTGAGCTGCTTGATCTCTTTACGCAGAGCTGCGTTCTGCTTCTCCAGGTCTTCGCTCTCCTGCGGGGAGGGATGGAGGACAGTGTCAGGGACGGTGGCAGGGTTGGGGCAGGGAGGGCTCGGCATGAGGCCAGCTTAGTTCTTCTCTAGCACAGCCATGGAGATGGGCTTCAGAGAATTTTCCTGTACATGGGAATGTGTGCCATGTGCATATATGTTTGGGGATGGATATGGGTGCATCCATATGGGTACACATTTGTGTGTGCATAGCCATTAGGTTGAACCATATGAATCTGCTGGTACTTGTCTGTTTTGGCCTATAAAAATATCTATTTCAAGGCTGGGCGCAGAAACTCACGCCTATAATCCCAGCACTTTGGGAGATCGAGGTGAGAGGATTGCCCAAGCCCATGGGTTCGAGACCAGCCTGGAGAGGACAACTTGGCGAGACTTTGTCTCTACAATAAATCACAAAATTTGTTGGGCGTGGTGGTGCATGCCTGTGGTTCCAGGTACTTGGAAGGCTGAAGCGGAAGGATCGCCTGAGTCCAGTAGGTCAAGGCTGTGGAGGCTGTGAGCGTGCCACTGTATTCCAGCCTGGGTGACAGAGTGAGACTCCGACTCATAAAAAAAAAAGGGGAAAAAAAGATCTGGTTTCCAAAGGTCAGGCTGCTTTTCGACTGCAGCGTAATCTGCCTTTCCTCCGTGGGCCCCAGTGCTTAGCAGAGAAGGTCTGTTTGATTGAGCCAAAGAACGAGAAGCATAAAATCACATGAGAATTTCGATTCTCCTGGACTTTCTGGAGATGGAATTGTTTTTCAGTAAATGTTAATTATCAGGGTGTGATTATTGATTAATTAATGATGGACTCAGAGCCAGGCTCGGTGGCTCAGCCTGTAATCCTGCGCTTTGGGAGGCTGAGGTGAGTGAATTGCCTGAGCCCGCGGGTTCGAGACCCACCTGGGCAACTTGGCGGGATCTCATCTCTACAATAGATCAAAAAGTTAGCTGGGCGTGGTAGTGAGCGCCTGTAGTTCCAGCTACTTGGAAGGCTGAGGCGGAAGGATGGCCGGAGCCCAGCAGGTCGAGACTGCGGTGACCGGGAGCATGCCACTGCCCTCCAGTCTGGGTGACAGAGTGAGACTCCAACTCAAAAAATGATGGACTCAGAAATCGGCACTCCTTACCCAGGTTTTCCACAATCGCACCACTATCCCAAACTTGTCATGTTGTGAGAATTAATTTGAAGGCTTGTTAACAATATAATGTCAGGCCTTCCTTCCCTAAAATCTAGAGATTCGAACTCAGTGGATTTGGGATGTGAGGGGTGAGGTCTGGGAATCTGAACTTTGAAGAACTGCCTGAGGTCATTCCAAGAATCAAGAGAGTTGGAAAACATGGCCAAGTATGATATCAAGTTTGTTTCACTTACTCAAGCACTGATTAAGTGCCTATTGGTTAAGCGCATGGCTCAATGCCTGGTACGTAGCATGCACTCAAATGTTTGTTGACTGACTGACTGACTGATGATGTCAACTGCTGGCACGAAGAAGTTGACTCAGAAATATGGTGGGTGGTGAGCAGACGTAAGATAACTTGACATTTAAAATTTGCCCTAAATAATTCACCAGGAGCATGAGCTGCAAGCTAACCAGGGAGTGAGATGGGATTGTCAGTTACACTGCCAATCTCCCTAAGCCCTCCCACTCCGAGGGTTCTTTTTTAAGGGGCAGAGAGGCCTCCCACTGTGGCTGGAGCCATCAGCCAGCTCCCATGGCTTGTGAAGGACAGATTCCTGAGCTAGAAAATGTGCCTGGGTCCATCCAAGGGAAGCCCCCATCTCTAAGCTGTGATAGTGGCTTGAGCACCCGGGCCTCTTCAGCAAGGGGTGGCTGGCTTGTTTGACCATTTGGTTTGCTTCCTGGCACATCCTGGCGGGAGGGCATCCCCTTTACCGAAAGGTGAGATAAAGCAGCACGCCGGAGACCGAGGGGTGTTGGTAAGACCGGGAACCGGGGGCCGGGAGTCCCGGCCCCTCCCTCCAGCCGTTTTCCTCGCCCCCTCCGAGAGTTTCCACTGGTGACATTTACTGTAAATCCTGTGCTCTGAAGAGCCTGGGCAAACCCCACGGCAGAAGGGAGGGGCCGGGAGGCCGCTCTGACCTCCTCCAGCCTAGAGGCCGGCCCAGCTTGCGGGAAGTGACGGCAGGTCCTTCCTCCTGGTGCAGGCTCTGCTGAGCTCCCTCTAGCCTCCTTCTCTGCCTCCTCCTCCCTGCGGATCCCAGAGCTCTAGAAATTCAGAGCGGCTGCCTGCCGCCTCCAGCCAGAAAACAATCAAGTGTGACGAGAGAAACTGCCTTTACCTTGGAAAGTGACACTGCTTCCTGCCAGGGCCCCTTAAAATCCGCCTAGGGCCAGGGACCATGCAGCCAGCAGCTTATGAGAGAGAGAGAGAGAGAGAGAACACGGAGGGGAGGTTTGACTTCCCTTGCTAAAGGAAGTGGTTGATCTGGGGCCTGGTCCTTCCACCAAGGGCTCACAGCTGAAGGGACCACTGGTAAAGGTGACAGTGGGAGCTGCCGTGGAGGCAGAGGTCCACAATCATCCCCACCAGGGCTGGGAACCTGGACTCCGTCAGGGGAGAGAGTTGCAGCTCCCACACAATCTCCTGCCGCTGCACGGAGGCTGCCGGCCTTTGGACATCTTGGTAACCTGCTTCCTACTTCTCGGAATTCATTTCGGCCCACTGGGCTCCTCACAAGCACCCTCCAAGAGGATTGCTGTCATCATCCCTCCTCTGCAGAGGAGGCCAACTGAGCCCCTGGGACCACCCTGCTCCACACACTCCCAGATGCCCACAGGCAGGTGCAGCTGTGCTCAAGGATTCGCCTCCAGACACTTGTTTTCTCAGAAGGTCAGAAACGTTGAGCAATTGGTCCAAAGATGCGTAGCCGGGCAGGAGCCCTGTGGGCTTGGCTTGGGCAGGTGTTCCTTCCACCTGCACCCCCACCCTGCCAGGGACCAGAGACTTGAGCGGGCAAAGGTCTCCAGAGAGCACTGGGAGGCCCTCGGCTGCCCTGTGGTCTCCCGAAAGTTGGGTCTGAGCTTTGGTGACCCTGGCTCACAGCATGACATGGAGCCCTGAGTCAGTCACAGTCTTCCACTCACAGACCCTCTGCCTCTGAGCTGAGAAGGAGTCACCGGGCAGCTCCCTGGACAAGGCTGACTCCAGGCCAGAACTTCCTCTGATGCAGAGCTGGTCCCGAGCATGTGATGATGAGGGGAATCCATCAGCAGTAACCGGGACAGGGGTCTTGGGTCCTGGTCCTTGGTGACCCTTGTGACTAGCTTTCCCTGTTAAGCCCAGTTACCTCACTTTAAACCGGGAAGATTGGACCAAAACCACGATTCTCAACCTTGGCCACACACTGAATCCTGGGAGCCTTACCCAACACTGATGCTTGATTCTTTTTAAAACATGATTACCATTTTTGAGACAGGGTCTTGCTCCATCACTCAGGCGGTAGTGCAGTGGTGCAATCACAGCTCATAGCAGCCTCAAACTCCTGGGCTCGAGCAGCTCTCCCACCTCGGCCTCCCGAGTAGCTGGGACTACAGGTGTGCACCTCCGCACCTGGCTCTCATACCTGATTCTGCTTTAATAGGTCTGGGCTGCAGCCTGGGCACTGGGTTGTTAAAGGCTTCCCAGGGGATTTAGCCAGCTGATGTTGAAAACCATAGGATTTAGAAAATCCCCAAGACCCCTCTAACTCTCAAATATCTCGGATTCCAATTGACTACCTGAGTATAGTAGTGAGCTAAGGCCTCGAACCTCTACCTGCTGAGAGGGAATGTGTGGATGTATGTTGGGGACTAGGGGGTGTAGACTCAAATTATATGAAAAAGATTAGTAGAAACCAACTTTTTAGAAAAGGAAAAACCTAGCTCAACTTAATAATAACTAACATCGATTGGCCAGGCACAGTGGCTCATGCCTGACTTCCTGGCATTTTGGGAGGCTGAGGCAAGAGGATTGCTTGAGCTGAGGAGTTTGAGACTAGCCTAGGCAACATAGCAAGACCTTGTCTCTGCAAAAACCAAAAAATTAGCTCGGTGTGGTGGCATATGCCTGTAGTCCCAGTTGTTCTGGAGGCAGAGGCGGGAAGATCACCTGAGCTTAGGAAGTTGAGGCTGCAATGAGCGGTGATCATGCCACTGCCCTCCAGCCTGGGTGACAGAGGGAGACTCCAACTCAAAATAATAATAACTAACATTTATTGAACACTGCCATGCATCGATCATGCTTTTAAGTAGTTTATAGTTATCATATTTAAGTTTTGCAACACCCTTGTGTGGTAGGTGATATTATTATGCCCATTCTACAGAAGAGGAGAAACTGTGGCACGGAGAAATTTGAGTGGCTCATTCAGGGTCACGAAGCTTGCATGCTGTGGCACCAGTACTAGAATCGAGGCCATTTGCCTCAGGCTCTGTGCTTTCCGTCCTCTCTCGCCTTGGAAGTCTGTTTCCACCCCGTGATATTTGATCGTGCGCTCTGGTGAGGCCTCTGCCCTGTTGGCTTTCCAGTTTCATCTTCCCTTTCTTCTCACCTCATGCAAACCTCTCACCTGTGGGGTCACCTGATGCTACCTCTGTCGTGAACCACAGGCAGCTGGGGCCATGGCTAAGGGCGAGGCTACCTGGGGGTGTGGGAAGATTCTGGGAAATCCCCTACTGCAGGGACTCGGGAGGGGTCCCTCGAAGGGCCCTGGCTTGATGGGGAAGCCCCAGATGGGTCCCTTGCCCCAGAGAGCCATTTGGGACAAAGACTAGGACAGGTTAGCATTTCCTAGCTGGTGGGGGCTCCCTGGCCTTCAGAGTGGGGGTGGGTCCTCCTACCAACTCCACTCTGGCATCTTGACCATCTCCTTGCATTTTCTTTTCTTTTTTTTGGAGTTGGAGTCTCACTCTGTCGCCCAGACTGGAGTGTAGTGGCCGCTCCCGGCCACCGCAGCCTCGACCTGCTGAGCTCTGGCGATCCTTCCGCCTCAGCCTTCCAAG